ACTTTCTCGCATCACTAGGACTCGCTAGGTCTCGCGGCCTTAGGTCTGTTCGCACAGAAATCACTAATCAGTCAGAGGAGTGAATTTCATTGATTGAAACTAGTTATCTGAATGTTTCTCTGACTCTTTTCAATCTCAATCTCAATCTCAATAAGCTTTATTGTCTCAAAATACACATATTTCATTGACAAAGCAATTCTTATTACTAATAGGTAAGCAATTAAACTTTAAAATCATGCAATACTTAAGTAGACTAAACAAATAAAATAAAATAAAATAACTTAAAATAAAATAAAATAGAATAAAATAGCAAGTTCCCAAAAACAAATTAGAAACCCACATAGTGGCTGAAACCTTAAAGAAAGTATAGAACAAAAAATACCACATTTAAGATCAAGATATGCGCAGTAAAAGTCGATCATTTTATCAAATAAACTCACCACGAACAGTGTTATTAGTTGAAGTTGAAGTTTAAACGAATTATGTTATTTACTAAGTTATTCGGTTAAGATAATATTCCGTCAAGTTATAGAATGCTTTGGTTGCTAAAAATTCTTTAACTGTAGTGCGAAATAATTGGTAATTGTTAATGATTTTAATATCTTGCGGCAAGTGATTAAATATTTTGATGTTTTCATAAATTAAGGATTTTTTTCTGAGTGTAGATTTTGGAATTGGCAATGGCAAGTTATTGTGTCTAAAATTATAATTTCTTTCATAAGAATAACCAAAGAATTTTTTGTATACCAAGCAGACTGACTCCAATATAAAAATGCATGACACCGTTAGTATTTCCTCCTGCCTAAACAGGGACCTGCATGATTCTCTGTATCCTTTTTTGCACATACAACGAACAGCTCTTTTCTGTAGAACGAACACCGAATGTAACAGACTGTCTGTTGTGTTACCCCAGAAAGCTATCCCATACTGTATGTGTGCATCAACCAGAGCGAAGTAAGCCACCCTTGCTGCTTGTTTGCCAAGTTCCCGTGCAACTACTCTTATGACGTAACATCCTTTGGCTAGTTTTTTTGTGAGTTGGTCTATATGAATATCAAATTTCAGATGTGTATCAATGTGAATGCCTAAGAATTTTATTGTTGATTTGTTTTCAATGGTCTCGTCTCTTAGTTTTATGTCAGTCAAAGCACATTTAAAAGTAAGGATGTTTGTTTTTTTTATATTAAAACAGAGTTTGTTTGCTTCACAACATTGACTTATTAAAGAGAGATCTTTTTCTATGGTGGCACAGAAATTGATTAAAGACTTTGCACTCCACAAAACATTTGCATCGTCAGCAAAAGCAGTAACCGCCGCCGAGATTGGCAAGGATAAGAGGTCGTTGATGTACAACAGGAACAGAACCGGTCCTAGGACAGAGCCCTGAGGAACCCCCCGACTGATCGTCTGAATCCCTGATGCACTCTCCCCAACACCAACGAACTGATCTTCAACCAATGAAATTCGCTCTAACTGGTTTGTGATATCTGTGCGAACAGACCTTTTATTTATTTATTTATTTGTTTTGCTTTATCGATATAAATGCCACCCCAAATTTTGCCGCTCCGGGCAAATGCCCGGGTTGCCCCCCCCCCTAAAGCGGGCCCTGGCTAGGATGAATACAACTCATCAGCACTAAGGATAATAACATGTGCAGCTTGAATTATTACAGCATAAAATATGTGATAAAACATTCTTGATTCAGCTTCTGAGTGGTTTGATTTTAATTAAGGTACCTCACAGAATGAAAACCCTTTTAGCTTGAAACCGAGCTTGAAACACGAGTTGAAACATTTTGTTGGCTACAGATGTGCAGGTTCATCCAACTAGGACTGAACAGGGGCAAATTTTTGACTTTCTGTATTTTTGAGAAAATCCATAATAGCCATTTGAAATATTTTTTTCTGGAGAATTCAAAAATGGTACAAAAAAAAAAAAAAAAACATTTTAACCAAAAACCAAAGAGTTACGCCCTGGGTGAACTTTTTTTCAAATGAAACACCCTGTTTTTGTATGGTTTTTGGGAACGTCGCATTTTTTTACGTTTATTCTGTTGAAAATATTTGATATTCCAATAGCTGTTTGTATTTTAGGTAATTTTTGGGCTCTCGGGAAAGGGTTATAAGGCGTTTTCTGATCAAGTTCATTTTTGGTACACATATATAGGGCGTCAAAAGAAATTTTTCCAAAAAAAAATTGACCTTGACCATCAAAATTCACGTAAATGGCAGTTTAACGTGCTGAAAACTTGTATAGTGTTGAAAGGCATCTCAAGTAACCTATATACCGAGTTTTAGCTTTCAAGGTCATACACATCCAGAGATACGGCAGCCCCGCAATCTTAATTTGGGCTCTCGGGAACGGGGTAGAAGGCGTAGTCCGATTGAGTTCATTTTTGGTATACATATGAAGGCCGCTGAAAGAAATTTTCCCAAAAAAAAATTGACCATAACCTTGACCGTGATCTTGACCAGTGAAATTCACGTTAATATGAATTTATCGCAACTGAAATTATGTATAGCGTTAAAGAGCATCATAAATAACCTACACACCAAGTTTTAGCCTTCAAGGTCATACACATCCAGAGATACGGCAATCCTGCATTCTCAGTTTGAGCTCTGCTCGGGAACGAGGTAGAAGGCGTAATCCGATTGGATTTAAGTACTAATTAAGTAAAGTTCCTTCAAAAAAATATCATGCTTCTTCTCTACAGAGAGTTTAGTTTGATCTCAAAATATGGTTTTATGATCGAAAATGTTGGCGCAAATAACTATAAATATGATTTTATAAATCTGGAATGAATCCTCTTCTCGACCTTTGACACAGATCAATATATAATATCTATTCTTATCAGCTTAATATCACAATCTCTCTGGTTAGCAGATACAAATTTATTAAACGTAAAAAGCATCATGTGGTAGATATTCGAACGAAGAGAAGAGCTAAGTGTTCAAACCATTTTTTGAAAAAAACATTATTGAGTAATGATAAAGCGTATAATATCTACTGAACTTTTGAAATTGGTACACTTTAACCATCCCTTAACCGACAATAACTGTGCTATATCGAAACTGATCAAAAATATGCAAACTAACCCAAACTTACCCGTCTTTGTACTGCGTGCTAGTCCCTGTAAACTTACCTAATCGAGCATTACAAAATAATGCGGAACAACCCAAATTAACCCATTTTTGTAATGCATGCTAGTTGAACACTTTTATTTTATCTAGCTTGCCGCGCATGGTTGTCGTTGTTAATCAGTACACTGTATCCAGTTTTAGATAAGTACTTAGGTAATTAATATTCAATATCATGATGTTTCCTATTAAAAGTGTCCAAATTGGCCCACCCTGTACATAATTTCAGCACGATAAATTGATAATTACATGAATTTCACTGATCAAGGTCACGGTCAAGTTCACGGCTAAGGTCAATTTTTTCTTGGAAAAATTTCTTTCAGCGGCCTTTATATGTATACTAAAAATGAACTCAATCGGAGTATGCGTGCTACCCTGTTCCCGAGAGCCCTAATCATACCGTATTTTATTTTAATGTTGCTTAATAATTTTAGCTTTACCTGTTGAATTTAATAGGTTCATAGGTGATAGAGGTATAATCACCTTTCGTTCAAAGTCAAAAGAAAGACATATTTTATATTTTGTCGCCATCACAGATGTATTGAACAGGTAAAGCTAAAATTATTGAGGATAAAACATTAAAATAGAAAAAAAATAGTTATCGGAATATGAGATATTCTGTGAATAGACAAAAAAAATGCAAATTTTCCAGAAATTACACAAAACGGGTGTTCCATTTGAAAAACAGTTCATCCCATGGCAAAACTCTTTGGTTTTTAGTTCAAATGATTTTTTGGTATCATTTTTGAATTCTCCAGAAAAAAATATGCCAATTGACTATTTTGAATTTTTCCAAAACTACAGGAAAGGTTTAAAACTCGGTTTAAAATAAGCAGTCTTCTTTTACATGTGTATATGTTGGAGCAGAATTGCAAAGATATCCAACAAGTGGTAGGTAATTTATTTTTTCTACAACTGTCAAAAAATGATGATGTTCGCACACTGATGACAATTTGCGAAGTGACACTTTTTTTCCCAGGTATGGATTTTTCAATGTTTCCATGACGCCGTGCGCGAACTAGCTATTTCGCACACATGTGTGCGAAATAGCTAGTTCGCACACTGGTATGTCATGGTGACACATATCTGTCAGGACACCAAAAATAATTAAAATTCACCTGTCTTTGATTGTAAATGCAATTTGAGCTTCGAATGATCGATATTTAAATGGAGTTGTAGAAAAAATATTGTTTGCAACTCGTGCGCGAAATACTTTGGTGATCTCGACTATTTTTTAACTCGGCTGCGCCTCGTTAAAAAAATCAGTTCTCGATCACCAAAGTAGCATTTCGCGCACTAGATACAAAAATAACTATTGAGTAAAAAAAAGCCTTAGCTACAATCAATAGGAAATTTTTGTGAAATGAGTTGAAATTGTGATATTTTTGATATAACTTGGCATTGGGGAATGGCAAGAGAATTAGGGACCACTCCACCTGCCCGCAAGATATATTTTCCCATTTATCAAGACCACAGGAATATGAATTTGAGCATTTTTCTCGGTCCTCACATTTTGCATACTCAACTACTTGTAGCGCCTGCTCTACAATAGGAGTGATCAAAACCATCCTGCGAGTTTTCTTTAATTTGAGACCGCTTATTTAAGCTTTACTACAGCAAACAGCTTTGTTTTTAAGATATTGCCAAAAAACTAGAAAAAGTCCGATTTTCCTCTTGGGGTTGTTTAGGGGTGACAGACACGGCCGATTACTGGTGAGGTTTGGTGAAATTTTAAGGACTCCAATATAAACCTACATACCAAATTTCAGCTTGTCTATTTGGCCACGGTTTGACTGAATCGACCCTGGGCTAAGTGACAATATGTTGGTTTTGTAGGGGAAATTTCCAAAAAAAAAATCAAAGAACACTTAACACTTACTGTGCAATGGTAACGTATAGCTATGGATTGCAACGTATCCCCTTCTTCAATGCTCTTTTCTAATGTGGGAATTTCCTTCTTGGGGGATTTATTTCGGACAAATAGTTCGGTTTCCTCACCATCATCACTACTGCTTCCACTAGCTTTGTCTCGTTTGTCTATGTGCTTATATTTGTTTCTACAATAATTATGTTTAATTATTTCATTCAAATAATTAATTACCTACTTTTGCCTTTGTTTCATCATTTTTACCACTCCGTTGTTTTTTTTTTAATATTTTTGAATTAAAAATAAAAATATGTCATCACAACAACAAAGAGTTAAATTTGTAGGTTAGGTTGTTGTTTTTGATGTTGGATTTTTAGGTGTTTTCTTTTGATGACACTAACTAGTAACTGCTCTGTTTGATTTGCACTCTAGTGCGTATACCCAGCAATCCAACTGAACCGATCAACAAAAGTTCAACATTCAACATTCACAAATGCTCCACAAATCTTAAGGGAGCAACAAATGCTATAAAGATCTACTCCACAGATACCGTCGTAAACATTACGAACGAACATCGAAAATCCCACGTGGAGAGTGGAAAAGTGTATTCATTCTGTCCTAAGTTCCAACCCGAACCAAAGTTGTAAATGTTTAGTTTTTTTGCAACAATTTTATAAACAAATTGTACAAGTTTTCTGAGCCTTTAAGCTAAGCAATTGAAAAGAAAAACATGGAAGTAGATGCTATTAATAATGATTACTTCAAAAGCTATGAAGATTTGGAAGTAAGTTTTTATTGGAAATGTAAAAAACATATCGTACAAGAAATCTTGGCCCGCAACAAATATTATTTAACCAATGTTTTCACTCTCACGATGGCCTTTCCATAATTAACACCTTTAAGCATATCAGTAAACGCCTGAAACATATTTTCAAATCCATCAGTAACAGTTTCTCTATATTTTATTTTTCCCTCTTGGATCCACTTGAGGTTTTGGTCTATACCTTCGAACCATCTATCCTGCCATCTAGTTACGATAAAACCTTCCATTTTCAATTGTTTTAAGGCCATACTGCCTTGGACTACACCAGCTGGAATAGTTTTACTAAATACTTTTTCTGTAATGATAAATTTGTCTTCTTACCAGTTGGGCGAGTCTCATTATAACCTGAAATAGCCCCACACACTGAAATCCTACCAAAAAGATTCATCTGGTTTATAATCGTGGTACTTATTTCTCCACCAACCTAAAAATCTGAGCTCAATTGACCATTTTACTTTCACATAATAAAATACTTACGTTATCAAAGTAACAGTCAACTCCTTTTGGTGCAATTTCCCTCAAAGCTTTTTTAACATTTTGAGTTTTATAATTTATGAAATGATCAAAATTTAATTCATTTGTCAACCATTTGCCTTTATCATCAGAGCCTGCTATACCTATTACTTTGCAGCCTTTAAGTTTAGCAATTTGTCCAACATGACTACCTACGGCACCTGCAGCACCAGTAATCACTACAGTTTCTTCCGGTTTTGGTTTGCAGATGTCGAGAAATCCAAAATAGGCTGTGTTTCTACAATAGAAAATTGACTCTAGTGTTCAAATTAATTCTATTATTACCCAGGCATGCCAAGTACACCTAAACCTAAGGAAGGAGGTAGTCCTTTAAAATCAGGCAAAACATATTGATCCATTTTTAGTCTGTCAGATTGTTGTGGAACTCCATTGGCTATAGTGTGGGTACGCCAACCAAATGAACCTGTACAGTATTTTCCAACAGGGAATTTGGGATTTTTGCTTTCCCGGATTCTAAAAACATAACAAAAAAAATATTTGATAAATTTGCAAAGGCTACGTATGTAACATACAATGCGACTTGTCCTCCAATAAAAGGTACCCCTATTTTTAATGCTCCAGCATATCCTCGCATGTATGGATCTACGCTCAAGTAAACTGCCTCAGCCAAATATTCTGCAATGAAATGGCTTAGAAGCTATTCAACTTGTATTTTTTTACAAACAAACCTCCATCTTTGAGTGCGGGTAGTTCTTCCTCCACCAGTACTAAATCTTCAGGCTGCGGGAACCCATTGAATGACTTTGCGTAAATATATAGTTGAGCTTTAACCATTTTTATTTCACACTCGACACAATTTATCTGTATGAAGCGTTCAAAACAACTTAGCCTATTCACACGTGGTATTTTCAAACAATCGTTCATCATAGGTACAAAGGTCGAAATTAACAGTTTATTCGTTAAGGCAATGAGTGGGGCGAGGAGTGGAATATTTAATAATAATAATAATCAAGATTTGAGATAAGCTGGATTTTCATTTGTTTATTGGGGAAAATAAGTTGGATTTTTTCATGTTTTCCCCTGTACAAAATAACTGCAAAAGTGTTTAAGAATTTCAGTGAAAGCCATAAAAGGCTTTTCTTTATCTTTAACAAGCCACAAATATACTTTTGTTGCATTATTACTATCCTCCATAAACACAAACATCAATTTTATTTTATTTAGTCTTGTTTATTACATTAATCCCTTGATTAACTGAGCAAATTATGGTTCAATGGCATTTGTTGACAAGATGGTGAAGCGTTTTACCCTGGTTTGCGATGTCTTCCATAACTCCTTGATTGATGTTTTTTTCTAGTTTCCTCATTATATTTTTCGTTTTTGTCTTGAGAACGTTCTATAGGTTGGAGTTATGTTACATTGTCATAATTGTTTAAGTGTAATAATGATCTGCATTTTTTTATTATTTTTTATTTATTTCCAGAAAATTATTACAATGGTTACATTATAATACCTATAGAGGTAATCAGTTACCTATACATAGGACTGGTGAAACTTAAAAATTAAACTTAAAATCTATAAAAACCCACTATGTGCATAATGCCCCTATAAAGGGTGTTCCGAAATTAATGCACCAAATTTTTATGGCATATTCTACGTCGAAAATAAGCCGTAGTTACCTATATAAACATATGTCCGGAAACGCTTCCTTTCTGAGATACAGGGTGTTGAAATTCTAAGAAAAAAACTATTTTTTTATCATAGTTCATACCACTTTGAAATTTTGTACACTGGTTTCAAGCAACCAAAGACATTTTATGACGTGGAATATTTAATAAAAAAATTACCAGTGACGTCACAAAACTAATTTGAAACTTTAGGTCTTCAATATTTAACATTTTTATCATAATTTTGGCAATTTCGCCATGCATCATAATGGTTTTTTATTTTTTTACTTTAAAACAGTGCATCTTTTGGAAAAAAGTGAAGAGATCAAATTTGTTCTAAATTGAATGGGGATTTGAAAAATGATTTTTATTTTAGAAAAAAGTAGTGGCGCACTATTTTTTTCTTAAAAAATATTCCTCACAAATATGGTAGCACGCCACTGGTAATTTAAAAAAAAAAATAATTTCACATCAAAAAATGTCTTTTGCTGCTTGAAAGAAGTGTACAAAATTCCAATGAAATATCTATAGTGGTTTGAAAATTATGATAGAAAAATACTTAGTTTTTTTCTTAGAATTTCAACACCCTGTGTCTTGGAAAAGAAGCGTTTCCGGACATATGTTTATAAAGGTAACTGGGACTTATTTTGGACGTAGAATATGCCATAATAATTTGGTGCATTAATTTCGGAACACCCTGTATAGCTATCACAAGGATAGGAGTACCCAACTCATTTATAGACTGTGTGAAGGAAATACCTACATATTAGGCATTGCTTCTCATATAGACTGTGAGATAGGGGCTGTTTGGTGGAGTCATTTTTTTTTGTCTGGAATTTTGAGGGCTGAATGTGGCTACTAAGCTGATGAGAATATGGGTGATTTTAATACCTGCCTCCCGTTCGAAAATTTGCAGAAGAAAAAAATTGATTTATATGAAGAATTTTTTTTTAATGATCTCAAATTTTCTGGTTTTTAAATGAAAGATTGACATTGATAAATAATTCACCCATGAAACATACCAGATGCTTTTCAATAGCTGGAAAAGTGGGGATGGGTGTCAACTTCCAAGAGAAAAGAAAAGAACCTTCTGCGTTTACTTTTTGTCTGGCAATCGAGAGAATGAAAGGTTTTGTTGTGAAAATAACGCTGAAAAATCGACAGACGGTAATCACAGTTCGAAATCGAGTTTTCCGGCAAAACATTCTGTGGACATTTCGAACAGGGGGCAAGCATTAAAACCACTTATATTCTCATCAGCTAACTAGCCACATTCATCCCTCAAAATGCCAAAAAAAAAAAAAAATGACTCCACTAAACAGGCCCTATCTCAGGGTCTAATAATATAAAATATAAACAAACCTAATGGAACAAAAAAAAAAAAAAAAATTATGAATATAAAATATAAAAAAAAATCCATAACAACAATAGAAAAATCTTGAGAAAAATCATATAACAAAAAAAAACAATAAATAATAATATATAATAATATGTATGTACACTTTATTTTTTTCCAAGATAGATTTTGACATTGAAAACTTTGAAACATAAACAATAACGCTTGACCCTGATTGGTTGCAAAATGAGGTGTTTCTGCAGGTTGACATCAGTTTTACAATAGCGACCAATAAGCGGCATTAGCAGCATTGTTTATGTTTCAAAGTTGACAATGCCAAATTCTATCTTGGAAAAAAATAAACCATAGTTAATACTAATGCTTATGTTTTGGGGCGCTCCAAGAACGAAAATTTTCTTGTGAGAGATGAAATTGTGGGAAATGTGATTATTAGCAAAAAATTATATTCTTAGCGAATTGCAAGCAATCCGTTTTTTCAACTTTTGTTTTACAGCTGCTCTAGTATGCTGTAAGGTTTTGTATTCGTTGGGGAGGCTATTGAAAGTTTTAATGGCGGTTATGTAGCTGCTCTTTGTAAATAATGTTCGATTAAATTTCGGTAAAATAATATTTTTATTTCTGGTGATACTAATTGACTGCATAAAGTTACTCTTGAATTCCTCATAGAAATAGACAAGAGATTCCAGAATAAAGGACTGATGCAAATTCAATGGAACAGACAGATATAAACTCGGATTTATGGCACCCCTGAGGACAATTTTCAACAATCTCCCTTGAAGCGCCTCCAACATACACTTAACATTGTCATAAGCACTTCCCCTGGCTATAATACCAATACCATAATTACAAACACTATGGAAAAGGGCATAATAAATTGACAGCAGCGTCTTTGGATGCATTATTTTAGCCAGTTCAGCAAAAACAAATAATAAATATTTGGTTCAGTGTTGCCAGAATTGAAGGATTTCCTTCAATATGAAGGGTTTTGATCTAAAATTTTGACTATTGAAGGATTGAAGGTTTTTATCCGAAGTTGAAGGATTTTGAGGCAAATTGATAATTTAGCAAATATTTCAATCATTTTACCAAAAAATTCAATTTTTATTAAAATAAATTAATTAAAGTCTGTTTTTTTTTTTAAAGATAAAAGTCAAAATGACATTATGTTGGAAATACAATGTAAAATTGTCAATGCTTTCAAATTTTTTATGTAGAGAAGGTTTGTGTTGCCAACATAGTTACTAAATTTTTGCCTCAAGGAATTATCTTTAAAAAAAAAAACAGACTTTAGTTGCATGAGAAAAAATACGAAACACCAATTTTTGGTACGCCACTGCGTCAGAATTTATGAATAAGGCTATGAATATTTTGTTTGTTTTGTCTTTTTTCATTTTTATATAAAATAATTTCCTACATGTTATAGTGGTTTTTTTTTTTGGTAAAATATTTCGTTGTGCCGGCCACCCGCCTGACCCGCCACTGTTTTGAAGGATATGAAGGGTTTCAGCCACTTAGTTGAAGGAATGTCGTCGAAAAACTCTGGAAACACTGATTTGGTTTTATGACAACACTTTCGATGTGAACATCCCACCTAACCTTATAATCAATATAAACACCCAAGTACTTACAACTATCTACTCTCTTTATTTGTTTTTCATTTATTTTCATGTCTAAAAAATTAGGGACACTGTCGCAATATGCACCAAAAGCTATATAAACTGTTTTTTGGACATTCAGAGATAACTGATTTAAACCCAGCCAAGTGCTAACATAGTTAAGCGAGTTGTTCATTCTGTTCTGGCCATGGAATCATCACTACACAATATAACAGTGTCGTCAGCATAAGATACTATAGTTTCAGATGGCAACAGAGACAGTAAATCGTTAATATAGAGAATAAATAACAAAGGCCCAAGAATTGTGCCTTGAGGCACACCATGTGTTCAGTGTTGTTCAAAAGGCACAATAGGCTCGTTCAGCATATTTTTTTATTACATATTCTAAAAGAGCGTGTTGAGTTTAGCAGTTATGCAAAATTTCATCATTTTCTGAGCCCTTGTTCATATTTAAATAAATTATCAAAATACTCCAAATTTGAAACACGCGGTGACGTCACTGCATCTCTCACGTCGGTCGTTGTGGTGCTGGTACGCCAGTCACTTCGACAATATGGGCCAGAGATATATGCGCATTGTTTTGACAAGTTTTGGTTTGGCATCGTTTAGACAAGTTTCAGTTTGGCATTTCATGTATCTGGAAGAACTTGAATTTTTTTCTTTCGAATCACATTTCGTATATTTGAATAATTCCCTGAATTTCAATATTTTATGAGCACAATTATGGAAGTAGCATGCAAAACGAAAAACTATAAATATTGCATAGTTCCGCAAACTATGTGCCAAACTGTCAGTAGAAAATCAGTTAACATTGCGTCATGCAAAACCGTGTGTGACGGCCTTTAGCCTGTCTCGACGTGAGAGATGCTATGACGTCACAGCAATGAATTTCCGAGGCATAACTGTTTTAATATTGAAAAACGCCTAACTTTTTTAATATTTATCCAATTGAGCTGAAATTTTTTCTACGTGCTATATGTGAACAATACTCCATAAAAATGTGAAAAACCGTGCTAATGAAATTTTATTGAACGAGCCTATTGTGCCAAATGTGGCACTTTTCGCCCGCAAATTGCACGGTGGAACCACTTTGAAAAATTTGGCACAATTCACATTTATTAGATATATAGATTAGATCCTTTTTAAATTTTTTTTAAATGAGAAAGACTGGAGCTGGAGCACGATTTTTTGATTATTTTTATTCTATTGTATTTTTTGCTCATTTTATTTCTGTGCTAGAGACCTCAGTCTTGACCGGTGAGAACAATGGTGAGAATTATTGTGGTGGATCTGTCGGTCATTGGGTCTGTCCTTAGACGATCCGTCGATGTGAGTAATGGCGTTTCCG